CAGAAAGAATTATCAAAGATGGTATAATTTGAACAGGAGTATTTCCACCCTCCCACCATGCCTAAGTGGGTGGAGCTTGAAGAAACACCTAAGACCTGCAAGCAACATGTCTACCAGTTCCAACAGACAGCAGCAGCTGGACAGAAGGGGGTGGACCCCCTGGGAACCTCCTATCTGCCAGCAGTACCTCCTGGACCCGGCCAAGAGTCCCAAGGACATAGCCAAAGATGGCAGTCCAATCAAGAATCTGAACCCCCACCTACTGGACATCCCACCGGATCATTGCCATGACAACGAAATGGCAGTACCTGCCCCTCAAGAGTCCATCCCAGGGGTCCCTCCGCCAGCCACTCCCCCTCCAGTTGCCAAAGCAACTCCTACCCTCCCCTAGCACCCTCGGCGAAAGGAGTTTAAAAGAGTACCTACCCAGGTAGAAATAAGCCCCCCAAAAGCACACAAAAGGAAATCTTTGCCCGCAGAACAGTCATGAAGAACCACAGCCAACAGAAACCACAGCTAGAGGGGCAGTGGGTGCTGTGGGGACTTGTGGGTGGAGGTCACAACTTGCTTAGAGCGCCTAGAAGATCACGCAATTCTCTCCTGCTTCCACCCTCCCAGAAACCCCTTCTTCCCTAACTCTAGCTTTAGCGTTCAGGGCTTCCTCCTCATTAGTTTTAGGAAGACCCACACCATTGGGCCCCAGCGCACCCCTCTTCAAGAAGTAACTATTCTGGGACTGGAAAAACAGGCACCGGTGAACGGGTGCAGGGAAGAGAAAACTGAGTCACAAAGGCATCGCCTCCCCACTTCCCCCCAGGAACACCGCGGGTTCCTCCCAAAGGTGGCCCTCTCCTCGGCCCTTCCGAGCCTCCCTTTCCCGAGGTTTCGTCCTCTCCCTCACCAGCCACAGCCCCGCTCTCCAGCTACCACACCCCTTCCCCATTGCTCCTCTTCGCCTAGCACCCCCGAGCCCCAGACGCTGAAAACCGGGTTTGGGCCTTTGGGGCTTTTCCTGGAGCGCTCTAGCCCCACCTCGCTGCCATCCCTCCAATCCTTTTAACCTTCGCCCTGAAGCCCCCTCACAGGCACCCCCATTTTTCCTCCGTCAACCCTCCCACCTCAGTGTTCCTCGTTCGCACCGAGGGTCCCGGCTCCCCTCTTGGCCCCATCAGCCGCCTCCTAAGAGTCTCCCACCTTCCCCCACCTTCCCGACCCTCCGGGCGCCCCATCCCTCCGCGGAGGCCGGCCCCACCCCCTAGTCCCCGGCTTCCAAGCCCCGCGGTGGCCGCAGCGGGGGGACCCGATCGGGAAAATAACAAATGGAGGCGGCGGCGGGAGGGGGAGCTGGGAGGGGTGGGGGTGGGGTGGGGAGCCGCGGGCCAGAACCCGGGCGGGCCCGAGGCCCGGGCCGCGGCGGACCTTACCTGGGCGCAGCTCGGGACGGCTGGCTGGCTCCGAGCGGGATCCGGGGCTCCGGCGCCTCCGGGGGGCGGCGGGGGCCGCCCCCCACCCCCCTCTTCTCCTCTCGGCTTCAGTCGCCGCCGCGACGGCGGCGGCGGCGGCCCCGACCCCCCCGGAGGGCGGCCCCCATCCCCCTCTCCCCACCTGGCCCCGAGCAAGCCCCGCCGCCCGCTCCCGCTCGCCCTCCTCGGGCCCGCGCCTCCCGCGGCCGCCGGAACGCCGGGGCCGCGCCGCCCGCCCCCGCCGCGCCGCTCGCCCCCGCGGCCCGGCCGGCCTCCGCGCCGCTCCGACCGCCGCGCCCGCCCCGCGCCGCCCGCCCCGCGCGGTCCCGGCCCCTGGGCGGCCTCCGCCCGCCGCCCCCGCCCGCGCCGGCCCGCGTCGCCCGCGCCCCTCCTCGCCCCTCCCCGAGGCCCGCGGCCCCCCGAAATGGGTCCCGGCCCGAGGCCCCGGCCCGACGCGGGGCTGCGGGCGGGCTGGGCGGCGCGTCCGGCGACTCGCGCAGGAAAGCGGGGCGGGGGGAGGCGCGCGGCGCGGGGGATGGGCGGGAGGAAGAGGAGAGGAGGGAGCGCGGGGGAGCCGAGGCGCGAGGGGCCGGGAGGGAGACGCCAGGGAGGGAGCGCGCGGCAGCTGAGGGGGAGGGGGGCCCGGAGAGGGGGAGGCGCCGCGCGAGTTGGCCGAGGCCGAGGGGGCCGGGGCCGGGGAGGGGTTCGCTGAGGCGGAATGTGGGGCGCCCGCGGGCCTGGCGCCGGAGAGGGCTGGGTGGGAGGGGTTGTGGGCTGTGAGGGCAGGCGAGCGGGAGGCTGGAGAAGTTTGGGGGCCGCGGGTCGGCGTCGGAGGTGAGGGGGAGGCTGTGGGTAGGTGGCAGAGAGTAGGGTAGGGGGGTAGGCTGGAGGGACGGAGGTGCTCGGAGGCAGCGAGGTGTGAGACTAGGAGGGGTGAAGGAAGCTTGGGGTGACACCCGTCTGTGGCAGAGGTGAAGGGGGAGAGGTTTGGGGACAGTTATCAGAGAAAATGGGATAGAGGTTTGGGGTCATCATTGGGGGACAAACTGAAAAGATGGGGACATATAGGAGATTGAGGTTTGGGAAAGAATTAAGAGTTTGGCGTGATTGGTTTCCGTGATTGGTTTCGGGGAAAGGATAGGAACTAAAGGAATTTAGAGATGATGAGGAAAACTGGAGACAAGGCCAGAGATGAGGGATGAAGCAGGTGGGGCCAGATGCATATTCTGGGGGGCAACCAGCTTCTAGAAAGGGAGGAAAAGAGGGCAGGAGACAGCCAACCAGGGATGGCTGGTTTCTGGGGGGGTGGAGGTTTCCTGAGGTTATGGTATAGAAGATGGGATGGAAATGGATAATAAACAAGGCCTTTGGTGACAGTCTGGAAGCGGGAAGGCCAGTGGTGTGGAAGATGAGAGTGGAACTGGATGGGGAAGGCTGTTCCCAGTAGGTAGGAGATGAATTTCTAGGACTGGGACTCCATCCTCAGACCCTCCTGTATGGTGGTGTCTCCATTTTCCTTCTCAAATCTGAAGTCATCACTCATGGTACCTTTGGGCCACAGGGAAGGGGCTCCGGTGGGGATTACACTCAAGATGGAGCCAAATTCCTAGGTGCCCTGGTTCCCTGTTCCCAATCGTTCTAATGTGAATGAGACAGTCCTCAGCACAGACCACAGGCTCTGCCTGCTCTTTCCACTGCAGGCTCTGAGTCTGCCAGCCATTTTCAGTCTTCAACCATGAAGCAACACCATCACCACCCCCAGTCCACCACCAGTGTCTTCTGGGTTCTCTCCCGGACCCCACACCAAGCAGCAACATCTCCCAGGACAAAGGACACCAAGACACTGGGTGCTTTTTGGCAGCAGAGATTGGGAAGACCAGAGAATGGGGAAGGAGGCAGGCTGGGAAACAGGAAGAGCCGGAGCTGGAATCTGGATTGGGAGCTCTCAAGAGCTCTCTAGTTTTGGGTGGGGAGAAGGTATTTGTGAGGCCATACCTGCCAGTAGCCAAGGGGGGGGGGGGGGAGAGGGAAGGGGGGGGACCTGAATGGCAAAGTCCCACCAGACTCTGGGGGAGGAAGGAGGTTGACTCTGTGGCAACTGGGTAAAATTTGTCTCTTATGTCCTTGAGCCAGGCTCCACCAAGTTCTAGCAACCCCAAAAGCTCTAAATGGATTCTCAAGCACTGGGAACCTGAGCAAAGAAGGCTTCCTTAGCCAAAGAAAGACTCACCACTCCAGTAGGTTAAATTGACTGGCATTCACATTCCCCCATGCCCACCTTCCTCATCCCTGGGGGCCAGTTCCCTACTTCCCCCAAGCTACCCTGACTCTCCCTACAAAGGTTCTGGAAAACCGCGGCCTTCTCCCCACCCCCCCAACTTTGTTCCAAGACTCCTCCCCCCACGTCTTTCCCCCTCCCTATTGCATTTCCTCTCTAGCAGCACTTCTCAGTTCAGTCTCCCACTGGGTCCTGGGCCTTCTCAACTCCCTCCCAGACTGAGCTCTTCTCCCTTATTTTTAACCACTAAGGAATGGGCTTAGATCATCTAAGGTGCAGATCTGAGCTGAAAAGAAAAATATCAGCATAGGCAGGAACAAGGAATGGGGAGTCAAAAGAGCAGCCCAGCCCTACCCCCTACAATTCCTCCCCCACCTGAAGGCCAGGCTCACAAATCAGGGAGCATCACAGACACCCCATGCCTCACCCCAGCTCCCTTTCTGGCCCCAGCCCCCCATATCCCACTGGTCTCCAGGCAACGGCACAAAGGAAAAGTGGAGAGAGGGGCCTAGGAGGCCCAGGCAGAGCTAGCTGTAACCCAATCCAACCCAGTACCTGAGGGGAGGAGGGAAGGGGCATGGCTGCCAGAGGAGACCTGGCCAGAAGGAGGGAGGGAAGAAAGGGCAGAGGTTAGCAAGTGTGGCTGGAACCAGAATAGTCCTGGTCAGTCCAAGAGTTACTGAGCTAAGATAAAATGAATGCTAGAGAAAACAGAGACACAGAAAAAAGCAAGGTGTGCCCCAAGGGAAACAGAAAAGGGCGCTAGAGACATGGAAGGGAAAGATGAGATGCCCACACTAAAAGAGAAGGGGGCAGGAAGCTCTTTCAGCTGAAATGACTGAGGTCTCAGGGACCCAGGAAGGAGGAGAGCAAAGAAATGGGGCCTGCCCTACAAAGCTGGAATCCTCTTAGAGTTCTGGAGGTGGGTAGGATGGCAGGGGGAGCCTAGGACAGAACTGAGAGGAGGAGGCCACAGAGGGATCCTGGAAATTCCTCCCAGCCCACCCTGAGCTGGGGGCCCGCATGGTGTCCCGCAGAACTCTGTCTCCCCCTAGTGGTCATAGTTCCTCCCTGCTGGTCTGTGCTCTGGTGTCTACGGCATCTCAAAGCTGAGGCTCCCTCAGGAGCTGAAGTGTAAAAGGGGGTCTCCAGCCACAGAGGGGCACCCTACTGGGAAGCTGACTGGCCTCGAGGCATCTTGGGCACTTTAGATCCTGAATCTCCAGTTTACTGAAGGCCTCCAGTTTCCTTAGGCCCTCTTTGTGCACCCCCCATCCCCCATTTTCCCTCCCAAATCTTGCAGGGTGATGGCCATGCAGTGTTGTGCCAGCCCAGAAGCAGCCAGGGTTTTTTTTTTTTGGGGGGGGGAGGCCCCGTAGGGAGCTGCTCCTGTCCACAGCTTTATCCCTTCTTCGGTGAAAACTCTTTGAGAATCTGAGAACACTTTGGAACCCATTCCCCCAAAAGTGTACACACACAATTTTACACACAATTTTAGATACTTTCAGAGGTTCTTGAACCCCAGGTGAAGAAGCCCTAATTCACCTGTCCCAGGCCAGGCTTGTGACTGAGAAGGCAGGGGCAAATCCGCTGCCCCAGCCAGCGTGGGTCAGGCCATGCTACTCAGCGTAGACCATTCTGTTCAGTGTGTCTTGCTCTGTGTGTCCTCCCAGCTCTATGATCTGGCACCCAGTTGGGGTGCCACCTCATTTGGACTAGAGTGAGGCCGCTCAGACACAACAACGCACTGTGATTCAGACTTTAATGGCGGTGCTCATTTCAGCGCCACAAAGGTGGTGGCAGCTGTGGAACATGGCACAGGGGAGTGAGACATGGCTCTGGTGCAGCTGGAGGAAGGACAGGGAAGCTAGGGCGGAGGAGAAATTGGGGGGTAGAAGGCCCCAGGTGTACAGCCCCACCTCTAGCCAGAGCCAGGCTTTAGTTAAGGGCTGCTCTGCACCAAGGAGCTGACATCAAGGCCCCTTTCTGTTCCCCTTCCCATTCCAGCAAGACCTACCGCCACAGGAAACGCAGACACATAGTTCCCTCAAATTAGCCAGATTTTTGGGCCTGAGTTATGGGGAACGTGATTAAATTAACAGGATGAATGAAAAATGAATGAATAAATAAATTAAATAAATAAATAATATGCTGACATCTTGGACCAGGCAGGACCATGCCACCAGCACCCCCCCCACACACACACACCTCAGCCTGTGAGGCTCCTGGCTGAGATTCAGCATTGAAACCACATGGAACTAGCAAGACATGGCCCCTTTCTAAACACGTCACCAGCCAACCCTGGTGCTCCTGTCACAGACCCTGATCCTTCTTCCATGCACCCCCTTAGAATGCTCAGTCCCATGGTCAAGTTTTGAGGAGGAGAATAGAAAGGAAGGAAACATGGAGAGTGGAACCCAGAGGGAGGAGCAGAGACAGCAGGGGCCAGACAAGCCAAGGAGCAGCGTAGCAGGGCAGCCAGGGGGTCTGGGGCAGATGTCACAGAGCAGAATGGGAAGGAATTTTCCAGGAGGATAGGAGAGAGGTTCCAAGTCTCCAGGCCAGCAGAGGGGTCACAGCACGCTGGGGTTGCGGAAATTATGTCCCGCGAAGCGAGCTTCGTCCCCCAGCTCTTCTTCAATTCTGAGAGATGAGCCAGAAAAGGAAGGTCAGAGAAGCAGGAGGATCCCACTTCTCTTTCCAGGAGCCCCCCCCCCACCCCAGCCTCCAAGCTTCTCATACCACCTGCTTCTGTAGCTGCCCAAGAGTGGCCATTTCCTGGCTTCCCATCAACAAGGCCATTAGTAAACCCCTCCACCCAAACAAGATATTTTCTGGATATCTGCTGTTCTCCAGACTCCTGGCCCTAGAGGTGGACCATGAGTAAATAGAGCTTTTACCCCTCTGTGCCCTGGGATCCTAGCCCTAGGTTTCCTCACCTCATGAGCTGGTTGTACTTAGCCAGACGCTCAGAACGGCATGGGGCACCAGTCTTGATCTGAAACATCCCAAGAGAGAAGCAGTTCCATGGCTGCCCCTAAAAAAATAACTTCTACTCCCCGAAAATTCCCTACACCCTCAAACACCTGGAAAGGGGAATCCACCAGAGGCCAGAACCCATCCATGCCACAAAGATCCCCCCACTTCCTTCAACCCCCCCCCCACTCACCTGGCCTGTGCAGAGCCCCACCACCAGGTCGGCAATGAATGTGTCCTCAGTCTCTCCTGAGCGATGACTCACCATGACCCCCCAGCCATTCTCCTGGGCCAGCTTGCACCTGCACATACATCAGCACTCACCCACGCCCCTCACACTGGGCACTCTCTTCCCACCCTCAACGCTGGTCTCTATCAAGAAATCCCTGGAGAGGAGGTATCTGGGAGAGGAGCATGGAGTGAGCGGAAGCACAGAATTGAGAGCTATGAAGGGGAGTCCAGGTGTCTGCTCTCTCCACTCCCGGGCAGGCTGGGAGCATTGCAAGAGGGGTCAGGGAGAAATGGGGGCTGAGGGGGAGGGCCAGGAGGCACTCACGCTTGGATGGCTTCAGTCACCGAACCAATCTGGTTGACCTTGAGCAGCAGACAATTGCAGGCCTTTTCTTCCACTGCCCGCTCAATCCGTTTTGGGTTGGTCACTGTCAGGTCATCACCCACAATCTGGATCCCTACATTGGCTGTGAACTTTGACCATGCAGCCCAATCATCCTGGTCAAATGGGTCCTCGATGGAGACCACTGCAGGGAGAGTAGAGAGGGATCTGGTGATCTCTCCTGGGTCTCTCTGCATCAAGCAGGAACACACCCTTCGATTTCCTGAAATGGACAGATCCCCTGGATCTGCAGGGGTCTGCTCATCCTTCTTTTCCCCCCACCCCAAATAAGTCTGCCCCAACTGGTCCTTATCTTGACTCTTTCATAAAATCTTTCAAAAACAAAGGTGCACAAACTTTCTTGCAACTTATCTGTGTGCTTTCCTACTTTCACTACCAGAAAGCCCTCCCTCGTTTAACTAAAGTCCTTCATTCTACAATTGATGTCCACTTTCTCTTGTTCAGTCCTCAGGAAAATGACACCAGCTTCCTCCATTCAGAAGTAAAAGCCCACAGGAGACTTGGAGAGGGGGATTCTGATCCTTCTCAGCCTTCTTTTCTAGCCACATATTACTTCGAGCTTCATTCAGCATCTACAACTTTATTAATCCCAAATACTGTAAGGGCTAGTTCCCACTGGGTCCAATCATCTTCTTCCCATCCCTGGCTCCTTCTAGCGCCCTCCCCGTGGCCCCAGGAGCTTCAGAGCCCATGACTTTCATCAGAACACAAAGCAAATGGACAGACTCATTGCAGGTGCCCATTTACACTACATACCAAACCTAGTCTCTGCAAAAACTACCACCTCACGCCTGTATTGCAGGTATTTCTTGGGATACCTCCACATGGTCCCTGACTCAGAACCACATAAAAGTCCAGAGTTGCCCCGACCTTCCCCTGGCCCTCCTCTGCACTCCCCCCCACATCCCTATTCTCACCAGGGTAGTCCCTCACAAAGTCCTGGTAAAGGGCCCCCAGCTGGTCGCCAGTGATGTATCGAGAAGGATCAGCAGGGGACTTGAAGTCCAAGTCATATTTGCCATCACGATAAAACTCTGAGGCAGCGACATCCATGCCAATGACGATCTTTTCTGTGTAGCCAGCCTTGTCAATAGCTTCCTTCACCAGCTCCAGTGCTGGGGATGGAACACAGAGACATTATTGGCCAGAAGGAGGGCAAGAATGAGGGAAAGAAAGAGACAGAGCAGAGGTGGAGGGCTGTTGCTGGGGGGAGAAGTCTGGCTAAGGTTCTTGTTTGTTTATTCCCAGGTCTGGTAAGAGCAGACCACCTTCTGGGAAGGCAGAGGGATGTAATTCTGTCAATAATACTTCTTAAGGGCCTCCCAGGTGGCGCAAGGGGTTAAGGCACAACCTATGAAGCTAGCCACAGCCACTGCAGCATGAGTTCGATCCCCAGCCAGGGAGATACCCACATGGCGCAGCAGACCTCTCCGGTCTCGCCCGCTGCTCCCCTCAGCCGTGTATTTCAGTCAGTCTGCCTGTTCTGTTCCCCACTCTGTCTCTGGTAAATCCTCTCACCCCCTGCACCTCTGGCCTGTACCCCAGCTCTTGTATGCATAAATAAATAAATCTTTATATAAAAAAATACTTCTTTAACATAGCTATCACTTGTTGAGGGCTATGTCACCTGAGCTCTTTGTATAGATAACCTCACTGAATCCTCAGAATGATGCCATGAGGTAGATATTGTTGTTATTCCCACTTTACAGGTAAGAAAAATGAGGCACAGAGAAGTTTGGTAAGAAAGATCACCAGCCAATAACATGTCCAAGTTAAGGTTCAAATCCAGCAATTTGGCTCCCTCAGTACTGGACCTTTCAGCACTGCCTGCATTGTTCCTATTTACTATTCAGTTTCTCCCAGAGCAGAGAAAAAGGGATCCCAGAGGCCTAAGAGGTTGTGGTGGGAATGGGATGGATTGGAATGGATTCCTGGAGTCTGGTCCATCTCGTCATACTGAGAATCCTGCAGCGTTAAAGGATGGGATAGATCCCACACTTTGACCACGTAGACCATTCCCAGCATTCTCAGGGGCTCAGTGAGAACTTGCACACACTAACATACCCTGCTGAGCAGGTGAAGACTGTCCTCGGAGCCTGCACACGCGTCTGACAGGCCCTCTGGACCCCAACCCAAGGACTGGGACCTCCAGGAGTTAGAAGGAGTCCAAAGACCCTCCTCCACACAGACTCCTGGGAACTTGTTGAAGCTTATGGCCCTTCCTGATGTCCCAGGATGGAGGGAGACTAAGGGCGGGGGTGAGGGAAGCCTCCCAGCCTCACCTTCACTGTTCTCCAGGATATTGGGGGCAAAACCACCTTCATCTCCCACATTGGTGGCATCCTTGCCATACTTGTCCTTGATGACTCCCTTGAGTGTGTGGTAGACCTCTGCCCCAAGTCTCATGGCGTCCCGAAAGCTCTCTGCACCCACTGGCAGAATCATAAACTCCTGCATGGCCAGCTTGTTCCCAGCATGAGAGCCACCATTGATCACGTTGAAGGCCTGGGGGCCACAGGAGGACAACAAAGTCACGGAGCACTTTCCTCCCCATTCCTGAGAATGTTAACTCCAGATCCCAAAAGTCCCCCAGCCTCCCAGACCTAAGGTTTCAGGTCTCCTCCTTTCTCTGCCCAACCCCCTTTTCTCCAGCGCGTCCCCCCCAGGGCTCCTTGCTTCCCCACTCCACCCCAGGGAGAGGCCAGGGGTGTTTGGCTCATGCTCACCGGCACGGGCAGGATGAGGTCTGAGTTCCCAGCCAGCTGAGCAATGTGGCGATACAGGGGCAAATCCCGCTCAGCTGCCCCTGCCTTACACACGGCCAGGGACACACCCAGGATGGCGTTGGCCCCAAATTTGGCTGGAAGATTACAGAGGAAGGCACTGAGATTACAGAGGAAGGCCGTTCTACCTTTGCCTTTGCCCATACACCCCAAAATGGAGACCCGCTCCCCACTACTGCCACTTATCTATTCCCTCATGAAAATACAAGAGAGGAACAGAGGGGAGGAGATGATGCAAATGGCAGCGAGCTGTACCTATTTCTACACATCTCCAGACCGCACTATCTCATGCCAACTCTCCCCCATCTTTATGCTGCAAAGAAGTGTCTCATGGCACTCCCTCCCACTGCAGCCAAACCCACCTTCTCTTGCTCTGACTTCAGAGGAGGATGGAGAAGGCCTAGTCCTCTTACAGTCCTTCCTAAGGGAGCCACCATAGCGCCAGCCCTTAAGATCTGCCTGCTCCACGTGTGACCACCCTCACACCTCCCACTCTCCCCCAACCCCAGCTTACATTTGTTCTCAGTCCCATCCAGCTCCAACATCAGGTTGTCCAGCTTCTCCTGCTCCACCACGGAGATACCCTGTGGGCAGAGCATCCATCACCTAGGGCCAAGGTGGAGGCTGGGCCCTGAGACAGGGGCTCCCTTCTCACACACACATCCCACCAAGGTCCCACCAGGTTTCTAGGACAATGGCCTATCTGGATTTGGGGACTCAGGGAGGGAGAGTAAGGAGTCTTCTCCCCACCCTTCCCTTGGTAGGGATTCCCAAGTCTCTCTCCTCTTCTTCGCCCCTAATCCAGGATTCCTTCCAAGACCCTGGTCCTACCACCCCCAGCAAAGAGCAGGCCTCACTGAGCTGATGAGGGCTGGCGCGATGATGGTGTTGATGTGGTCCACTGCCTTCAGCACACCTGGGGAGAGGCAGAGGCCAGGTTGGGTCAGGCCAGGAGGGGCCAGAAAGGAAAAGGGAGGGAAGGCACGCTAGCCGGGGGTCGGGCACCGAGGCGAGCTAAGAGGCCAAGGCTGAGGGGTGGGAGAGCCTGGAAAAGACGAAGGGCCTCACCTTTGCCTAAGTAACGCTGTTTGTCTCCATCTCTCAGCTCCAGGGCCTCATAGATACCAGTGGAGGCTCCACTGGGCACTGCAGCCCGGAAAAGACCTGGAAGAGGAACATGGAGTGAGGAGGGAGAGACGACTACAGGGACAGGGATCCTTCAGCCTTCCAGCTCCAAACTCCTGCCTGCCACATCCAGTCCTGGTCCCTCACTGCTCCCCAACACACACACACACGCACACACACACACAGACGGAGACACGCAGTAGTAGTCCCACATGCGTAAGTGGGAGCTCACAGAAAGGCAGCTGTGCGCACAGCAAACGTCTGCACACACACACACTCTCACACACACACACACACACTCACACACACACACACACACACACACACTCACACACACACACTCACACACACACACACACTCACACACACGCAGGCAGGGGCACTAAGTGGAATGCAAGACCTGCCTATGGCCCAGCCTCCGCCCATTACCTTTGGCCGTGGTGAGATCCACCTCGACAGTGGGGTTGCCACGGGAGTCCAGGATCTCCCGGGCCCAGATCTTCTCTATGGACATGATGACTGGGATTCTCCTTGGGTGGAAGGGAAGGAAGGGGAAAGAGAAGAGGTTGGGGGCGGAGCCTGCTGCCAGTGGGCGGGGCTAGATGCTGGGAGGGCTGGGAAAGAGGTTACCGCAGTGAGTGGGGGGTGGGGAGGAGCTGGCTGCAGTGTCGGCAGGAGAAGGGACCCCCCCTCCGGGGGACAGAAGGGCAATGCAGTGAGGAAGGGGAGGTCACTGCAGTCGGGGGCGGGGGCGAGCACTCCGCAGTGAGGGGGGGAGCGGCAGGGCAGTGGTTCCCTCACCCCCTCCGCAGCTTGGGCAGCTGGCTGGTGGGGTTCCCCCAGCTCCCCTCAGAGCGGAATGGCTGCCAAGCTCGAATTTCTTCTCGGAGCCAAGAAGCTGGGTTGTCTTGGCAGCTGGAGCCTCTCCTCCAGAGGCCCCATCCCACCCCAACTTGACGCCTCAGCCCCCACACTCTGAGGTCCCAATCTCCCAAACGTAGGACCCCCCCTTCTAGAGAGGGGTGCAGTGGGGAAGGCTAGGGGCCCCGGAAGGCCCTCACTCCCTGGGGGCGGTGGGGAGAGGGGCTGGGCAGGGGCGCGGAGACCCGTGGAGAGCGCAGGCCGGGAGGGTCCCCTCCTCCGGCACCCAGATCCTTTCCTCCCCCTCCCTCCCCACCCCCAGCAGCCGGGCGGGGGCCGCGGGAGCCGGAGGGCGCTGCGGGGAGGGTGGGCGCGGGGGGAGTCCAGGGGAAGTCTGGGCTGCCGCGGAGGGGAGAGAAGACGGGTCCCCAGATGCACAGCTGAGGGGACGTGGGATTAGAAAACGCACCGCCCGGGAGACCCCGGCGCGCGTCGGGGGAACCGGGGCGCAGAGGGGCCGGGGGAGAGGGACCGCGCGCGGGGAGGGGGCCGGGAGGAGCGGGGCGAGGGCGGGCGGGCCGCGGGGCGCGCAGGTGACGGGGCAGGTGCGCAGCTCCCCCCGCGAGGGCGGCCGGGCGGCCCGGGGGCGCGGCGGGGGCGCGGCGGCCCGGGGCGGGGGCGCGGGGGCCCGCCGGGGCTTCACCTCGGGCTGCAGACTCGGCCGGCGGCGGTGGCGGCTGCGGAGGCGCGGAGAGAGCCCGAGCGGCGGCTGCGGCTCCCGGCGGCGGGCGGGGGGCGGGCGGGGGGAGGCGCCGATAGGGCCGGGCGGGCGCATGTGACCCGGAGCCCCCGATGAGTCAGGAGCAGCCCGCGGAGGTGCACGTAGGAGCGCGGAGGGGGCACCGATGGGGTGGGGACGTTGGGGGGGCTCAGGACCGCACCCCCACGCGCACCTACCCTGCCTGGACCCACTCACAAATCCAGCCAGACACCAGAGTATCAAAATGTCTCTTTATTGAAAAACCCAGGAGTTCTCGACATCCCAGCCGCCTCCACTGCTCCTGTCCCCCAACTCTGCCAGCCATCGGCCCATCCCCGCTCGCCTTTCCCCTCGGGGCTCCCAGGGAGGCCAAGGCCCACCTGCAGCCTCGCCCGCAGAGCCTGCGCGCAGCTAGTGGTGAGTTCCCAGGTCTGGGGCCGGAGAAGGCCTGCTCTGTCTCTGCAGGAGAGGTGTGCAAGAGGTGCCCCCCAGCTGGCATTCTCATGTTTGGGGGCCAATGTCTTGGACCTCCTGGAGGAAGAATACAGAAGTGATGCCTGGGTTCTCTCCAGCCAATGTTCACTCAGCTGTGGCTCTGTGGTGCCCACCCCACACCACCTTCTCTGTCACCCCCCGCTCTTCTCTTCTCACTTACTCTTCTAGCCTCCTGTAGTATCTCCTAAGCTGTTTCGCAGCTCTTTCCAAATCCTTCTGGTTCTTTCTCTGCACCTTGCAATACCCTCTGACTCATAACTCTGGTCTCTCCAAGGGTTCTCCTTGCCTTATCCCTTTCTCGCCACCCTCCTCCTACAGTGACTTCTCTTCCCCTACCTGCCAGGCCCTTGGTCTCCTCTTCCTGCCTTCCTGCAGACTTCCTTACCATCTTTGGAGACAAGAAGAACTGCTGCTAGATTGATGGCTGGTCCAATGGTTGGTCGGATGGCTGCTCGTTTTCCAACTCCTGGAAAGCTTCAGCCTCCAACTCCTCCTTCATCCTGTGGCGGATGTCCTCAGCCTCTGCCCGATCCTCCTCCTCGAAGAAGTCCTTGTCCAGACGTTCGAGTTGTGCTATCTGCACCAGGGCCTCCTGGCGATAGTCATTTTCATCTGCACAGGGGTTGTCCATCAGCACCAAGGCTCGCAGCTTGGGCAGGTCCTGAAGCTTGGCTAGCTCCCCCAGGTCAGCCACCATGTTGTTTCTGCCAGTGAGGTCAGGAGGGGTCATCAGGGAATACTGAGCTTCAGAAACCAGCTGCCAGGAATGGCACCTTGGGGGAATGTCCTCCTGGGCTCAGATTTCCCTGGAAACACTTCCTGAGTTTGGCAGTGGATTGGCCTGCCAAACGTTGTCAGATTGGCTGCAGAGGTGCTGTCCAACCCCACTCTGGTCCAGGCCCTGCCCTTCAAGAAATCCCTAAGTCCCACATGCTAGGCTGGGAAGTGTGGCCTTTATTCTTTCAGAGAAGCAAAGCTACATCACAACCCTGTCTTGTAGGAGGCGGAGGAAAGATCACCCTTGCAGGGAGAAACTGTGTGTCAACCACACCTCATCAGAAGTGAGAACTTAGGACCCAGGCCAGTGAGCAGGAACTGGGATCTAAGCTCCAGGAGATAGGTGCAGGTGGGTGCTCCCCACGGGAGGGAACCAACAGCTAGGGACGGCTTGGGCTTCCCGCCTGAAAAGCAAGCTTTGTCTCCTAATGTGCCTTGTGGTACAATACTGTGTTTATTTTCAAGTTTTTGCCTCAGTCCTTTATGAAGTCGGGTTTAAACATTTCAGACTTCTCTCAGTGGAGGTGCTGAACCACACGTGGTATTTCTCACCGGAAACCACATGAACTTCATGCTAGACTGTCCTGTGCACTGCAGATGTTGGCATCTGTGATCCCAGAAGCATCTCGCAAGCACTGAGAACCCCTCCCCTTACTTCCAGTCATCCCCAGTTAACAGTCACTGAGGAGGATCCATTGTTCCCCTCTAGACCATTAACAGGAAGATATCATTCCCTCTTTACCAGACCAACTTGGCAGAAGATTGCCCTAGGAGTCAGGGGCAGGAGTTGAAACTTTGAGGTGCAATTACCTCTCCCTACTTGGGGATTCTCTTTCCATTATCAGTCTTGACTAAGGAGGCAGTTTCCTTCCATCTCGGCTTATAGCAACACACCTAAAACCCTCAGATCAGAGTTGCTAAAAGAAAATCCCACCCTGATCCAGTGCCTTGCCATCTAGAGACTTTTCTTTCAAATGTCCTTCTCTTCCGAAAACTGAGCCCATCTTGTGCCGGAAGGGAGCATCCCTTATAGGTAGGAGAAGAGAGGCAGGAAACGGGAAGGGGATATGGGGCCCAGGAGTTGGAGAAGGGCATGAACTACACAGAATAGGGCAAAGAAAAGAGTGTTGAATCCAGACTGTGAGTCCCTTGGACCCCAGAGGCCTTGGTGGTTTAGTGGCGAGCATAGGGGCCACCTCTGCTTCGTTTTGATATTCCCAAAACACAGCACAAGGCCTGGCACGTAGCACATTCCTCATATAACAGTGGGGTGAGTGACTAAGGGTTCAGGGGCTTGGGTATAAAGGTGTTTAGTGTGGTGGTTAGGACTGAAAGCGAGGAAAAGTCACGGAAGGAGGGGTGAGGATCAAGATGGAGGATGAGGTGAAAAATCAGGAATGAACTAGGATTGGGAGATTGGGCCCAGAACACAGGGTCAAAGCTGCTCCTGGTCAGGGTAGGGGCAAAATGGGGCTTAGAGAGTATGTACCTCAGGTTGAGGTACTGCAGTGATTTCATTTCCTTGGAGAAGCCACTCAGAGTGTCAATCTGGTTGTTTCGAAGATGCAGGGTTGTGAGATTGCTTAGGTTCTCCAAGCCTTCCACCTTCTTCAGCTGATTCTGGGCCTAAACCCCAGGGTAGAGTAGATAGATTGGAAGATGAGAGTGGGGACAGGCAAAGAAGAAAAGTCAGAGATTCAGGGAGAGAGGAAACCTCAGAGGTAGGAGGGGATGTGGAGGGGAGTAGAGGTGACTAGAGATGGGTGTGGAGTAAGGAAATTAGGGGAAGCTGCCATCCTAGAGAAAGGGTCCCAGCAACCCCACCAAGGCCACCTCTGATTGAGGAGGTGATGCTTTAGCCCAGGTCGAGGAGCGCCCACTGCCCCACTGAGGTGCACCATCCTGGAATGAAGAAGCTCAAGCATCTGAAAGGCTAACTAACCACTCTCGTGACCACCTCAGCCACATGGCATTTCATCGTGCTCCCTGTAGCAAAGCAGTTGCCTCTGTCTCACCCACACATTATCTCACCAGCCCTGCCAGGTTATAAGCACCCTGTCTGTTTTAAGCTTGCCTCCCTACAGTATGTGGCACCAAATAAGGGCTCAATAAATGATACCAATTATCATGACAATGATGAAGTTAGTCCCTGTTGAGTCTAAAACAAGCCCCCCCACCCCCCACCCCAGGGCCATGCCCTCTTTCCTGCCCCACCTCTGACCCAATGAGCTACCAGGAAGAGGTTCTTCAGCTTAGGTAGGTTGATTCCCAGGGTGCTGCTCAGCTGATTCCCCCGAAGCTCCAGTGTGTGCAGGCTCCTCAGCTTTTGGGGATCCAAACCTGTCACTTGGCGGATAAGGTTTCCTGAGGAGGAGAAAGGTGTCAAGAATGCAAAAGATCATTCTGGATGTTCAGCATTAAAGATTAAATGTTGGGAGCCTCTGCATCATCCTCCCCCTGTAATGCCAGGTAGGCCTGAGGAAGGACAGCACCAGACTTAACACCCCAGGGCCAGAGGGCCTGCAGGCTGATGTCTAGCTAAGCCTTTGAGGAGTATATGAAGCGTGCCCAGCAATCTACACAGCTGACTCCTTCTCCTTCAAGTCTTTGCTCAAATATCACCTTCTCAGTACTTGTCCTCACCAACCTGTTTGAAATTACCACCTGTGCCCGCCTCATTCCCTTCACCCTGATATGTTTTTTTCCCATTGTGTATCTCCTTGTAACATACTACATACATTTACTTATTGATTGTGTTCATTGTTAGTTACCTGTCTTCCTCACCTAGAATGGAAGCTACATGAGAACAGGGATTTTCTGTTTTGTTCTCTTTTATTCACTGCTGTATTGCCAGCACATAGAACTGTCATAAGGAGTCTGAATGAATAAATGAATGCATGAGGATTGCTGTGTGGTACAGCCAAGGACCACACTGTCCACTTCTGTTAGCCCCAGGCTAGGAAGGACAGAAGCTTGTGTCACCCCGCCTAAGGACCCACCTCTGAGATCCAAGGTGCACAGATGAGGATGAGAGATGCCCTCAGTGTCAGTGATGTGGTTGTAGGCAAAGCTGGCAATCTGCAGGTAGGGCAGCTCATTTAGCCGTGCACTCCGGAGCTGGTTGTTGTCAGCTTTGAGCCAGAGTAGGTGGGTGAGGTGATTGAGAGGGGACAAGTCTGTCAGGTGGTTCTCAGAAATGTCTACATAGCGCAGATGGATGTAGGTACATAGCAAGGAGATGTCCGTCAGGTCCCTAGGAGATGGCAGCAGCCAGGGTTCGAGTTTAAAACTCCAGCAAGGGGGGCCTCTCTGGTGGCACAGGGGTTAAAGTCTCAGTGCTATCAAGTTATGGCCAATCCTGCAGCATGAGTCCACTCCCCAGCCAGGGAGCTGACCCACATGGCGCAGCAGCAGACCTCTCCTGTCTCCAGGGCTGCTGCCCTCAAAGAGGGCAGTAGATCCACCTCTTCTACTCCCCACTCTTCTACTCTTCTACTCTTCACTCTGGTGAATCCTCTCATCCCCTGCACAACTGGCCTATACCCCTGTTCTTGTCTGCATAAATAAAAATAAATCTTAAAAAAAACAAAAAACTCCAGCAAGGGCTGGCAGAGGGGCTCAAGCAGAGGGCAATGTGGAGGCAGTTTATAATGGGGAGAAGAGTGGGTAACAGAGGGGAGGGGTGGAGAGGGGAAGAAAAGGCAGGTGGGTTCAGAACAGTGGGCAGGGGCCTTGTGTCAGTGAAGAGCTGGGAACCAACACTCTGAGAGATGAGGAGGGTGCTCTGCAGGAATCCCCTACTTTCCCTCACAGTCTCCAATTTCCCAGATCAGCTCCAACACAGGGCGTCACAAAGCTCTTAAAAAGTAAAGTCTATCCTTCCTTGCCCCACTAACCCAGGGTGAGATTTATGCAAACTCTCAGCCCAAACACCCAGAAATGAGGATAAGAAAAGAGACTGGGCCCTACAATCTCACACTCCTCTTCTGGTTCCCCAGGAACTCACCTGTCTTTAACCTCCAGCTTGACAAAAGCATGAGCCAGTCCATTGCCTGTCTTACAGAGCAAAGAAAGTCCATCCTTCATCATGTCCTCCTTGAGGGGGTTGGGCAACCACTGCAGGAGGAAGTGAAGTCAGCACCCCTGTCCAGTCCACCCCTATCCCTTAACCCTAGCACCCCCTCCCTTTCCAGGTGCTCACTTCCTCAGAGGCTTCTTCCATGTCTTTCCTGAAGTCCTCCCACTCCTCTGTATCCCTATCATCTTCTTTTTCAAGATCCTCCTCTTCTTCATCAAAGTCTTCCAGATCCTCATCATCTGACATCTTTCTTCTCCGCTGAAGGCTCTGGAGTAGATCACGCTCAGTCCTTTTCCTGAGAAAGAAGATCTGCTCAGCATCCGCCAGCTCTCAGCAATGTCAGTTCCTGTGTATCCCTCCAATCGCACCATCACCTTTGCCCTCTTCTCAACTATACACTTCTTTTCTCACCCCTGTGACAGCTGCCTCATGGGGATTCCCAGCCCACTTTATACCTGCTGCCCAGGATGTCTCTCCCTCCAGGGGTGCCCTTCACAGTGACCACCAGCTCTCCTCTAGCAGCTGGGTCTCCCTGCTTTCGGGGCTCCCCTCTCCCCAGTTTTTCCCACCTCCTACTCCAACCACGTCTTCCTCCACCCTCCTCTCCTGATCCCTCACCTCTGCTGCCTTGCATTCCCCAACTCCTGTTCCACTCATGCCTTCTAACTCTTCTACCCCGCCTAGCACCATTTCTCTGTCTCCCCTGGGACACCAGCCTGACCAACATCCCACCCAACCTTCTTCAGCGAAGGGGAGCAGCCCCTGATTCTGCTCAACCAAGCGGTTCTGAAGAGGGTCTGGGTCCTAAGAGGGAAGGACTGTTTTGGAAGAGGGACAAGCGTTGTGTTCTGCTGTGATGGCAACGTGGGGGGGGGGGCGGGCACTTGGCCACCGCAACTCAGTGACCGTTGTTGAAAGCCGAGCCACCCCAAACTCAACGGAAAAGCCACACCACCTTGGGCGGATCTGCTGTTGCCTGGTTACGAGGCCACTTTCCCAGTCCCCGGAAGCCGGACGAAGCGCGCTAATTGGCTGAGGGCAGTAGGGTGGGCGGGGCTTAGGGCTTAGAACAGGGCGGAGAGGGGTGGGAGGGATCCTGGGATTAGCCATTACGTCACCTGAAACCTTAAAGGGACCCGACAGCCTCAGGGCAAAATTCCAAAGAAACATCTCCCGAAGCGGAAAGAGGGAAGGTAGAGCAAGAAATAACCAAGGTCACTGGTTTGGTTGCCCCCATCCCCCGCCATTAGTTATTTTCAGGCGGTTTGTAGATACACCGGGTTAAAGTCTTGGCATAGCTGTATTTTTCTGGCAATTTATTTAAGATTCCACTTTCTCATCTGTAAAATAGGCTTAACTGTACCCCTGACACGGATGGGGAATGGGTGTAATCTATGATAAAGCGCTCTGCAGATTGCTAAACCCAGTTTGGGAGCAATTCACTCTTCATATCCTGCACTGGTTTGACATAAACCTTTTGGGTAACAGTATGGGGGGAAATCCACCATGTGCTCACTTAAAATTCTCTTCACCAGGGGCCTCCCTGGTGACTCAGGGGTTAAAGCCTCAGTGCTATCAAGCTATTGCTATGCCAGCCACTGCTCCCAGCTAACCTCTCCTGTCTCCACTGCTGCTCCCCTCAGCAGTGTATTTCAGTAGATCAGATCTGCCTGTTGTGCTCCTCACTCTGTCTCTGGTGAATCCTCTCACCCCCTCCCCACCCCGCACCTCTGGCCTGTACCCCAGCTCTTGTATGTACCACATGCTTTGCCATGTGGGTCACCTCCCTGGCTAGGGATAGAACTTGTGTTGCAGTGGTTGTAGATAGCTTCATAGTGCTGCAACTTATCCTCTTGCACCACCAGGGCGGCCCAATGAATAAATCATAAGTAAGTAAGTAAATAAATAAATAAATAAAGCACTAGGAAGGATTAGAAGTGCTATGCAGTTACAATTCGAGAGAAAGGAGGTGATTTTCCTTGATCTAGAAGAGGAAGAAACTTCAAACAAAAAGATGTGACATAAAGATTAGGGAGGTGTCATTTAGCATTCTTTCATTAAACACTTGTTCTGTGCCAGGCTGTATGCCCTGGGCACTCAGGGACAGTAAGCACAATCCCTATCCATGAGGAGACTTCCAGGCCAGTGACAGGGTTAGGTAAATAAACAATTCAATATAATGAGATAGAGATTATAATAATGATACCCAGCATTTATAGAACTTCTACTAAGTGCTGGAAGATAATTTTATAATACATGTATATACCTGTCACATAACATCATATATTCAGGGCAGAGATTTCAGAGGAAGCACCTGTGGTGAAGCTTGGAGGAGAAAGCATTCATTGTCTCCACAAGGAAAGCAGGTGGTTCTGCCTGCTGGAACAGTAGGTACATTTGGGGGGACAAGGTGGGAGCAGCAAATAGAGCTGGATCACGCTGAGGAATCTGGACTTTATCCTTAAAGCTGTGTGGAGCCAATGGAAAATTTTCTTATGTTTTCCTGACAAGGACTGAATCTTCACTGTGTAATGAGAGCTAGATATCCCATGTTCTCCTCAATAATATCCTTCTCCTGGTAGCTGGTCTAGAGGGCATCTCCTATTATAAAAGTATATTATGTAAGTAATATTATAAAGGTAATACAAATGTTACTTTTTATAATTAGTTAATATAAAAATGCAAATAATTCAGAGAAGTAGGTCTAGAGGAACAAAGAAGACCATGATCGCCTGTAGCATTGTTCTCATTTATTATGTATTTAAAAAATTAAAATGGTATTAATCATATACACAGGTTCATCAGCTGGGTTTTCATATAGTAATATGTCTATGTCTTGGATATTTTTCATAAAAATCTCTTTCCTTTTCATAGTTGCCTATGCTTCGTTATATGGATATATGGTAATTTCTTAACTGTCTTCTACTGATAAATATTTTTTTTTAGAATTTTTTTTATAGAGGCATGTTTTTATTTATATATATATTTATTTGTTTTGTTTTTTTTTTGTTTATACATGCACTGGGTACAGTCAGAAGCGCGGGAGGGTGAGAGAATTCACCAGAGCCAGAGCAGGGAGCAGAGCAGGCAGAAGGACCGAAGTACACTGCTGAGGGGAGCAGCGGGTGGCAGGAGAGGTCTGCGCGCCATGTGGCCATGTGGGACCCTCGTCTGGTGGCCGGGGAGCAGCCGGGGATCGAACCGGCGCTGCAGAGGCCCCGGGCAGCTTCACAACCCAGCGCTCAACTGCTGCACCACCGGGGAGGCCCCTGATAAATATTTTTTTAAAGATTTATTTATGCATATGAGAACTGGGATACAAGCCAGAGGTGTAGGGGGTAAGGGGATCCACCAGAGACAGAGTGGGGAGCAGAGCAAGCAGACTGACAGAAATACACTGCTGAGGGGAGCAGTGGGTGAGAGAGGAGAGGTCTGCTGTGCCACGTGGGTTAGCTCCCTAGGGAGAAGAGGGGTTGAACTCTTATAGCAGTGGCTGGTAATCCTAAATAGCACTGAGACTTTAACTCCTGTACTACCAGGGAGGCCCAAATCATTTAAATTTATTACTTGTTTTATAGGAACTCTTTATGGTTTACAGATTATCTGTGGCAGAAACTGCCTATTGCCTATCTAATATTTATTCTTCCCTTCTTCCCCCTTCCTCATACCTTGTCTTAAACAGAATTAGGACCTCCCTGGTGGTGCAAGGGGTTAAGTCTCAGCATTATGAAGCTATTGGCAGCTACTGAAACAAGAGTTCAATCCCTGGCCAGGAAGCTAACCCACATGGTGCAGCAGACCTCTCCTGGCTTGCCAGCTGCTCCCCTCAACAGTGTATTTCTGTCAGTCTGACTGTTTGGCTCCCCACTGTCTCTGGTGAAACCTTTCACACACAGGCCCCTCCCCCCCCAACCACTACCCTCCCACCTTCCCACCTCCAACCCTTACCCCTCTCCAGCACCTCTGACCTAATATCCCAGCTCTTGTATGCATAAATAAATAAATCTTAAAAAAAAAAACAAAAACAGAATCAACAATCACATGGGTCTATGAGATGCCCCAAGAATCTAAGCCACATGCCAAGATGCTAGAACAAAAAGAAGAGCGGCCTGGCATAATGAAAATGTCATGAAGCTGCCATCCCAACCCTGAGTTGCCTATTTCCAGACTTAATTTATAAGAGAGAAAAAATTGGTTAAGCCACTGAGTTTTGGTGACCTGTGTTGCAGCCAAATGTGATTCTTAACTGATCATAACAAATTATCTCAAAGCGTAACTTAAAACAACAAACATATTATCTCAGTTTCTGTGAGTTAGGAGTACCAGTTTGGCTTAGCTGGGTTGCAGGCAAAGTGACAACTGGGGCTGGAGGATTTGCCTCCAAGATGATTCACTGACATGGTTGTTGGCAAGACAGTTCTGGCCATATGGGTTTCTCCATAGGCTGCCTGGGTATCCTCACAGTAAGGCAGCTGACTTCCCCAGAGCAAGTGATCTAAGAGAGAAAGAGGCCAAGATGGAAGTGACTTAGTGTCCAAAGTGAAACACTATTGCTTCCACTTCATTCTGTTCTTTAGGAGCCAGTCACTAAGGCCGGCCCCCTTCAAGTGGAGGGGAATTGGTTCTACCTTTTGAAGAGAGGAGGATCATAGAATTTGTGGACATATTTTAAATCCACAACACAGATACATCATTTTTTGTCTTTTATACATGTAGCAAATATATTCCTAGTTTGCCTTTTCACCTTATTTACTGAATGCCACCTTACAGGAATTTGATGTTTGTATGTAATCAAAACTGTCAGTCTATTCCAAAACGCTTCTGAATTGTGTCTGGCATACAAAGATTATGGAAATAGTCTCTTGCACATCCTTTTTTTTTTTATTGTACATTCTTAAATAGATTTTTTAGTCTTTAAATCATTTGGAAATTTTGTGTGTAGGGTAAGGTAAAATTAATATTTTGCCAAATGGGAAGGTGATTTTCCCAATATCATTTATTGATTAATCCCATCCTTCCCTACTGATTTGAAAAGCCATCTTTATCATTTATCTGTATATCATAGATATATAGAAAACTATATATATATATAATTTCTGGATTATTATTGTCCATTGATCTATATTTCTGACTATTTCTGCTCTAGTACCACACTTTCATAACTATTGGTTTATATATGTATATGTGTATATATACAAATCACTATTAATTATTAGAAACAATAAGGTGTCTATTGGATCGAAGGAAGTGGAGAAATTCAATAAGGTTTATGATGCTATTTTAAGTTCCTGAGCCCTGTTGAACTTTCTTGTTCATCCCTACCTCTTAATTCTTTTTTTTTTAAGATTTATTTTATTTATGCATACAAGAACTGGGGCACAAGCCAGAAGTGCAGGTTTGGGGGTGGGAGAGAAGATTAACCAGAGACAGAGTAGAGAGTAGAACAGGCAGATCTATGGAAATACACTGCTGAGGGGAGCAGCAGGCAAGATAGGAGAGGTCTGCAGCACCATGTGGGTCAGCTCCCTGGTGGGGGATCGAACTTGTGCAGCATTAGCTGCAGATAGCTTCATAGTGCTGTGCCCTAACCCCTTATGCCACCAGGGGAAGCCCTTGGTGGCTCAGGTGGTTGAGCACCACGCTGTGAAGCTCTCCACGGCCTCTGCAGTGCCGGTTCCATCCAGGCCGGTTTGGGTCCCACATGGCATGGCAGACCTCTCTTGTTGTGCCCGCTGCTCCCCTCAGCAGTGTATTTTGTCATTTTGCCTGTTCTATTTGCCACTCTGTCTCTGGCGAATTCTCTCACCCTCTCCTGCATCTGGCCTATACCCTGGTTCTTGTATAAATAAATAAATAAAATTTTTTTTTTTAAAGGAAAGCATTTTGATACACTTTTTGCAAATCCCTAATACTCAGAAGACTTTCTTTGTATCTCTACCA